TATAAATGCATTAGTTCTTCACCAGCCAGGAGTGGGGACCCACAGGGTGGACGTGGTGGTACAGTGATCTTAGTCTCTCATAAACATCTCAACATTTACTCTTATCTTATTTTATAATGTTAAGGAAATCACAATTTTTTTGTTTTAATTCCAATCATTTGGCGGCAGCTGTAAATATGATTTGTTATTAATGAATTTATTTTGTGTGGGTTATTTTGTGTGGGTTATTTTGTGTTGGGTTATTTTGTGTGGGTTATTTTGTGTGGGTTATTTTGTGTGGGTTATTTTGTGGGGTTATTTTGTGTGGGTTATTTTGTGTGGGTTATTTTGTGTGGGGTTATTTTGTGTGGGGTTATTTTGTGTGGGGTTATTTTGTGTGGGGTTATTTTGTGTGGGGTTATTTTGTGTGGGTTATTTTGTGTGGGTTATTTTGTGTGGGGTTATTTTGTGTGGGGTTATTTTGTGTGGGGTTATTTTGTGTGGGGTTATTTTGTGTGGGGTTATTTTGTGTGGGGTTATTTTGTGTTGGTTATTTTGTGGGGGTTATTTTGTGTGGGGTTATTTTGTGTGGGGTTATTTTGTGTTGGGTTATTTTGTGTGGGGTTATTTTGTGTTGGGTTATTTTGTGGGGGTTATTTTGTGGGGGTTATTTTGTGTTGGGTTATTTTGTGTGTGTTATTTTGTGTGGGTTATTTTGTGTGGGGTTATTTTGTGTGGGGTTATTTTGTGTTGGGTTATTTTGTGTGGGTTATTTTGTGTGGGGTTATTTTGTGTTGGGTTATTTTGTGGGGGTTATTTTGTGGGGGTTATTTTGTGGGGGTTATTTTGTGTTGGGTTATTTTGTGGGGGTTATTTTGTGTGGGGTTATTTTGTGTGGGGTTATTTTGTGGGGGTTATTTTGTGGGGGTTATTTTGTGTGGGGTTATTTTGTGTGGGGTTATTTTGTGGGGGTTATTTTGTGTGGGGTTATTTTGTGGGGGTTATTTTTGTGTGGGGGTTATTTTGTGTGGTTATTGTGTGTGTGGGTTATTTTGTGTGGGTTATTTTGTGGGGGTTATTTTGTGTGGGTTATTTTGTGTGGGTTATTTTGTGGGGGTTATTTTGTGTGGGGTTATTTTGTGGGGGTTATTTTGTGGGGGTTATTTTGTGTGGGGTTATTTTGTGGGGGTTATTTTGTGTGGGGGTTATTTTGTGTGGGTTATTGTGTGTGTGGGTTATTTTGTGTGGGTTATTTTGTGGGGGTTATTTTGTGTGGGTTATTTTGTGGGGGTTATTTTGTGTGGGTTATTTTGTGGGGGTTATTTTGTGGGGGTTATTTTGTGGGGGTTATTTTGTGTGTGGGTTATTTTGTGTGGGGGTTATTTTGTGTGGGTTATTTTGTGGGGGTTATTTTGTGGGGGTTATTTTGTGTGGGTTATTTTGTGTGTGGGTTATTTTGTGGGGGTTATTTTGTGTGGGTTATTTTGTGGGGGTTATTTTGTGTGGGGTTATTTTGTGTGGGTTATTTTGTGTGGGTTATTTTGTGGGGGTTATTTTGTGTGTGGGTTATTTTGTGTGGGTTATTTTGTGGGGGTTATTTTGTGTGGGTTATTTTGTGGGGGTTATTTTGTGGGGGTTATTTTGTGTGTGGGTTATTTTGTGTGGGTTATTTTGTGGGGGTTATTTTGTGGGGGTTATTTTGTGTGGGTTATTTTGTGGGGGTTATTTTGTGTGGGTTATTTTGTGTGGGTTATTTTGTGTGGGTTATTTTGTGGGGGTTATTTTGTGTGGGTTATTTTGTGTGGGGGTTATTTTGTGGGGGTTATTTTGTGTGGGTTATTTTGTGGGGGTTATTTTGTGGGGGTTATTTTGTGGGGGTTATTTTGTGTGGGTTATTTTGTGTGGGGGTTATTTTGTGGGGGTTATTTTGTGTGGGTTATTTTGTGTGGGGGTTATTTTGTGGGGGTTATTTTGTGTGGGTTATTTTGTGTGGGGGTTATTTTGTGGGGGTTATTTTGTGGGGGTTATTTTGTGTGGGTTATTTTGTGTGGGTTATTTTGTGTGGGTTATTTTGTGCTGGGTTATTTTGTGTGGGTTATTTTGTGGGTTATTTTGTGTGGGGTTATTTTGTGTGGGGTTATTTTGTGTGGGTTATTTTATGTTGTGTTATTTTGTGTGGGTTATTTTGTGGGTTATTTTGTGTGGGTTATTTTGTGGGGGTTATTTTGTGTGGGTTATTTTGTGTGGGGTTATTTTGTGGGGGTTATTTTGTGGGGGTTATTTTGTGTGGGTTATTTTGTGTGGGTTATTTTGTGTGGGGTTATTTTGTGTTGGGTTATTTTGTGTGGGTTATTTTGTGTGGGGGTTATTTTGTGGGGTTATTTTGTGGGGGTTATTTTGTGGGGGTTATTTTGTGTGGGTTTATTTTGTGTGGGGTTATTTTGTGTGGGTTATTTTGTGTGGGTTATTTTGTGTGGGTTATTTTGTGTGGGGTTATTTTGTGTGGGGTTATTTTGCAAGTCGTAACACAATGAGAGGATATGCTAATAATTTTTTTGTTTAATTGATTTTGTTTAATTGATTTTGTTTAATTGATTTTGTTTAATTGATTTTGTTTAATTGATATGCTTTCATTGTATAACAAGATGTAAAATAATTCCACTCACAACCTTAGAGCAAAATTAAATTATATTTACAGCTGCCGCCAAATGATTGGAATTAAAACAAAAAAATTGTGATTTCCTTAACATTATAAAATAAGACAAGAGTAAATGTTGAGATGTTTATGAGAGACTAAGATCACTGTCCCACCACGTCCACCCTGTGGGTCCCCACTCCTGGCTGGTGAAGAACTAATGCATTTATAACACATTGTTCTAAAATTCAATACTCTTGTCAGCTGTGGAGGCAAGAGTCATGGAAGTAACTGTGCTCTTTCAAGACTTCTACACATCTCCCGCTCCTGAAGAGGCATCATTTGGACCCCATTCATTCTCGCTCCTCTTCTCTCAAAAAGTTACATCTCGTCAATTAAATTCAATTTCCCCCAAAATCAATCCTCGTCCCGAGCTCACATCTTTTCGCAAGCTCACTACTGGACCACTATAATTAAACCTCACGTCACTAGAGAGCAGACATGATCACCACCTACAATATTCTCATGGGAATTAACAGGGTAAATAAGGACATTAACACAGGTGGTACACGCACAAGGGGCACCAAATGAGCCACAGAGACATTAGATAAATTCTTTTACCCTCAGAGTAGATAAGAAATAGAATGCATTAGGAAGTGATGTGGTGGAGGCTGACTCCATACACAGTTTCAAGTGTAGATATGATAGAGCCCAGTAGGCTCAGGAACCTGTACACCGGTTGACTGACAGTTAAGCCGAATGAGATGAGTACAATTAGATGAGTACTCACCTACTTTACCTTGCGGTGATGATTTCGGGGCCCAACGTTCCGCGGCCCGGTCCCCGACCTACCCTCCTTTCGCGCCCTCAAGAATGAGGATGGGGATGGGTAAGGAGGGGAGGGAAATCATGCTGGTAACCCGTCTCCAGAGGGAAGGGATCCCATTCCCTGGTGTACAGAAGGGAAGGGAACTGTCCCATCTCCTTTGAACTCGTGTTTGCACTGTTGACTAACAGGTGTTGATAACGCGGCCCTTGACGCCGTGTTGAGGATCAGTCTCACAGGGGCGCCAGGGATGGCCAAACACCTCCCCTGAGGGGGCAGTGAGCCCCTCACTGAGGGGAGAGATTCGTGAGGGAAGGGAGAGGGGGAGGTGCACGAGGGAGGGAGGGAGGGAGGGATTTAGGAAAGGTGTACACCTGTCCCACTCCAGTGTACACCTGAAAAAAACCATTGCATCTGCAAGTATTGCCAAGGGGAAGAGTGACTGCTAGTGTGCTATACCCCTCCTGCTATATGTATGAACGCACACACCAATATACACATTTAGTAACCCAAGGAAGTAAAGCAACATGTAAAACATCTGAGAATTTTAACGCCTGACGACCTGACGTTTAGTGAACATAACCGAGCAAATATGGCGGCGGGGGCGGCCAGGAACATGATAGGATGGATTATGAGAACGTTTAAATCCAGGGATCCCACAGCAATGCTAATATTATTTATATCACTGGTGCTGTTCCGTCTTGAGTATTGTTCGGTACTCACTTCCCCTTTCAGAGCGGGAGAGATCTCTGCATTAGTGGGAATACAGAGAACATATACGGCACGCATAGACACGATATAACATAAAACATAGACATCTGAATTATTGGGACCGTCTCAAAGCTCTCAAAATGTACTCTCAGGAAATGAGACGAGAGATATCAAATAATATATACATGGAAGACACTGGAGGGCCAGGTCCCAAATTTGCACAATAGAATAACAACATTCTGGAGCGAAAGGTACGGAAGGGAACACAGAGTAGAACCAGTGAGGAGTAGAGGTGCCATAGACACAACCAGAGAACACTGAACATCAGAGATCCACGGCTCTTCAACACGCGTCCAGCAAGCATACAAAATATTGCCGCAACGAAGGTGGATGTATTCAAGAGGCACTTGGACAGGTTCTTGCAAGAAGTGCCGGACCAACCAGGCTATAGTGGATATGTGGGCCTGCGGCCGCTGCAAGCAACAGCCTGGTGGACCAAGTTATCACAAGCAGAGCCTGGCCTCAGGCTGGGCTCGGGGAGCAGGTATACCCACGCATTCAGATACATACAGGTGAAGGCACGTGCGGATATATCCACGTATGGATGCATCCACGAACGGGAGCACCCACGTATGGATGTAGAGAAGGATATGAGGGCCTCGGTGCTGCGTTAAGTGCGTGGATAAACTGTGGCACTCAGCCAAAGGCACTTGGCACACACAACACACTCAGGCAGCACCATGTAGCAGTACCCCCATGTTGTTGAAGGAGCACCACCAGCGCTTATAGCACCAGCACTAGCACCAGCAGGAGCACCAGCAGGAGCACCAGCAGGAGCACCAGCAGGAGCACCAGCAGGAGCAAGAACAGCAGCAGGAGCAAGAACAGCAGCAGGAGCAAGAACAACAGCAGGAGCAAGAACAGCAGCAGGAGCACCAGCAGGAGCACCAGCAGGAGCAAGAACAGCAGCAGGAACACCAGCAGAAGCACCAGCAGGAGCACCAGCAGGAGCACCAGCAGGAGCAAGAACAGCAGCAGGAGCACCAGCAGGAGCAAGAACAGCAGCAGGAGCAAGAACAGCAGCAGGAACACCAGCAGAAGCACCAGCAGGAGCACCAGCAGGAGCACCAGCAGGAGCACCAGCAGGAGCACCAGCAGGAGCAAGAACAGCGGCCGGAGCAAGAACAGCAGCAGGAGCAAGAACAGCGGCCGGAGCAAGAACAGCAGCAGGAGCAAGAACAGCAGCAGGAGCAAGAACAGCAGCAGGAGCAAGAACAGCAGGGGGAGCAAGAACAGCAGGGGGAGCAAGAACAGCAGGAGCAAGAACAGCAGCAGGAGCAAGAACAGCAGCAGGAGCAAGAACAGCAGCAGGAGCAAGAACAGCAGCAGGAGCAAGAACAGCAGCAGGAGCAAGAACAGCAGCAGGAGCAAGAACAGCAGGGGGAGCAAGAACAGCAGGGGGAGCAAGAACAGCAGCAGGAGCAAGAACAGCAGCAGGAGCAAGAACAGCAGGAGGAGCAAGCAGCAAGAGCAAGAACAGCAGCAGGAGCAAGAACAGCAGCAGGAGCAAGAACAGCAGCAGGAGCACCAGCAGGAGCAAGAACAGCAGCAGGAGCAAGAACAGCAGCAGGAGCAAGAACAGCAGCAGGAGCAAGAACAGCAGCAGCAAGAGCAAGCAACAGCAGCAGCAGCAGAGCAAGACAGCAGCAGGAGCACCAGCAGGAGCAAGAACAGCAGCAGGAGCAAGAACAGCAGCAGGAGCAAGAACAGCAGCAGGAGCAAGAACAGCAGCAGGAGCAAGAACAGCAGCAAGAGCAAGAACAGCAGCAGGAGCAAGAACAGCAGCAGGAGCACCAGCAGGAGCAAGAACAGCAGCAGGAGCAAGAACAGCAGCAGGAGCAAGAACAGCGGCCGGAGCAAGAACAGCAGCAGGAGCAAGAACAGCATCAGTAGCAAGAACAGCAGCAGGAGCAAGAACAGCGGCCGGAGCAAGAACAGCAGCAGGAGCAAGAACAGCAGCAGGAGCAAGAACAGCGGCCGGAGCAAGAACAGCAGCAGGAGCAAGAACAGCAGGGGGAGCAAGAACAGCGGCCGGAGCAAGAACAGCAGGGGGAGCAAGAAGAGCAGGGGGAGCAAGAACAATAAGAGAGCGAGGGGCAGGAAGAGACAGAGAAGGTCTTTGTGTGTGAGGAAGAGTTGTGAGCGAGGGTGCTGGCAGCCGCGCTTCCATAAATATCAGTACACTCTGTATACATAGTACCAATCGATGTGTTGCCACGGCACGTGCGCGCGCGCACACATACACATACACACACACACACACACACACACACACACACACACACACACACACACACACACACACACACACACCACAGCGCTCCAGTGGATAAGGGAATACCTAAGCAATAGGAAGCAGAGAGTTACGGTGAGAGGTGAGACCTCAGATTGGCGTGAAGTCACCAGTGGAGTCCCACAGGGCTCTGTACTCGAACCTATGTTGTTTCTGATATATGTAAATGATCTCCCGGAGGGTAAAGACTCATTCCTCTCAATGTTAGCTGACGATGCCAAAATTATGAGAATGATTAAGACAGAGGAGGACAGCATGAGACTTCAAGAAGACCTGGACAAGCTGCAGGAATGGTCGAACAAATGGTTGTTAGAGTTTAACCCAAGCAAATGAAATGTATTCGAAGACGGTGTAGGGAGCAGGAGACCAGATACAAGGTATCATTTGGGAGATAAAATTCTTCAAGAGTCAGAGAGAGAGAGAAAGACCTGGGGGTTGATATCATGCCAAGACCTGTCCCCTGAAGCCCGTATCAAGAGGATAACATCAGCGGCATATATCAGGTTGGCT